CACCAGAGAGAATATTTTTGTAGAAGATACAAGTTGCTGCGTCCAAATATTTATGGAACAGAGGATGACCCCAAGACGTATGCACCGAGTTTTGAACCTGGAATTTTTCAGTGGATGGAGTTGGCACAAACTGGATATCAACAGTTTTTCTTCATCCGTGCTTGGGAGAATGGACGCCGCTGGGCTGAAATTCTGACAGACCATGGTATTCACTCTGCAGAACTTGCAAGTTTCTTGGATATGTGCAGGAATCCCAAATTGCTGGGTTGGAACTTTGGTATTCCAGAACCTCAGTGGGATAATTTTGGCAACTCAGTGGAGGAAGCATTCAACAATCCTTTATTTGCCAAATTGCACTATCGCTTCAAGCAGGAGGAAGAGATTGGTCGTGTCACGCACCTTTTGTCTGAACTTGTTTGTGACTTTTTCATCAAGGTGCTTCCCAGGTGGGTTCTTAAGCATTCGATCTTGTGGGAAGAGTTTATGATTTTGGATCCAATCACAAATCTCCCTGTTTACAAGACTTCAGAGGACGCCTTATATGCAGAAGAGGATCCAGAGAAGTATCATACACATTTTGCTATGAACTTCAAGAAATTCCGTTTTTCTGCAAGAGTTGTGTGGTACTTGATTGACCGTGACAGGAATCATTTAGAGAGTTTTCTTCACAACTCCAACAGCAGATTTGTGCAACATGCATGCTATCAACTTCGTGAATATGTTCAAGCGCGTGTTGCAGTTTCTGATCCCTTGTATGAGATGATCAAGAAGGAAGAGTTTGAACGCCAATACAATTCCAAGTTTTTGGAGGCGATTTCTTGCTCTCGTGTTGTAGTTGAGCCTGTAAGTTCAGGGACGTTTGAGCCATCATCGAAGCTGAACTTAAAGGTACTACAAAACATCCTGAAGGGTGTCTTCAAGATCCAGAAGGATGAGGAGCGTGCCAGAGAAGGTGAGGAAGAAGAAGAACAGGCAGCTCAAAACATCTCAAACTTGCTGGCAGATGATATGGAGCTTGGTTTTGATGATGACAACGTGCCAGTATGGAGCTCCATTGTCAACAAGTATAGAGAAGGTGATCAGGTGTTGCAGGGAGAAGCAGTGAAGATTACTCATCTTTACAAGGATAAAAAGGACAATGAGAAGGCAACTGAGTTTTTCAGTTCAGAGAGGACAGATTTTTATGAGACCTCAGATTCTCTTCCAAGAACCAGGGAAGAAGATTTTATAGAAGACTTGCTCACCAAGGATGTTGCAGAACAAGCTTTTGAGGCAGGTGAAGAAGTTCCTCCATACACAAGAGTCTCCACTATCACTGGTGGAATCTATACTGGTAGTATGGTGCTTGTGGAAGGTGAAGATATGGAAGAGGAAGCCCTTGAAGAAGATCCTGCAGTTGAACTAAAGAAAGATGAAGAAGGTTTTGATGAGAATGCAGGTGTTTTTCCTTCAGAGGAACGAAAGATGGAAGTGGACCAGGAGGAAGCCAAGGATGAGTCAGCGCCACACTTTCTGTCAAGAGAGATAGGTGAGGACTCAGCTGCATCGCACTTACCATCAGGTGAGAAGGATGCTAACCTTGATGATACTTCAAGTCTGCTGAAATCTAAGAGAAGCCGCCTGAATAAAATTCCTGATCCTCATTTTCATGAAGAAGTTCAGGATGATGCAACTCTTGAGGAGAAGAAGAAGGCGGTGGAGAAGATAAGAGAGGTCAGAGAGGATGATGGAGAGAAGAAATTGGAGGCTGAAATCCAAGAATCTTTTCCATCTGAAGTAGTTGTTGATACAGATCCAGTGGATGCTGATCCAGTGGATGCTGACAATACCTATGAGTTGCATACCTCACCTTTGAGGTTGTTTGGAGAGCTTACAGGAGAACCAGGTATTGGCTTTTATCAACAATGCTTCAGGGAAACTCACGCGAGATTGTTGAACCATGTTTGTTTCAGAAAAGGTGAGCTTTCCCATCCTCACTATCAGTCAAGGATCAATGAGAACGATTTTGTTCGATCCATTCGAAAGGTCTGTCCAGTACCTCCACCTGATTGTTATGAGGACAGCTCAGAGCATGATTTGAAGAGATTTTTCATCAATGATGACCGCATCGTTTATTTGGATGACAAGTATCAGGTCGATCCAAAGACCCTTGAAAGGGCAGAACAAGCTCGAGCAGATTTGGAGGATACAAAGAATCAACTTAGAGAAGAACTGGAAGAATATGGTCCCAAGGGACCTAGTTGGGACTTTGTCACCTTCTATGAAGAGCTGTGCAAAAGACTCCTCAAAGGAAGAATAGAAGAACAATATGAAACTAACTTATTGGCCAGCTCAGAGTCCCTGACATTTTTATCCTGGAACTATGGCAACATGGTTCGTGGTCAGAAATACACCACACCAAAGTTTCTCCAAGGACTTGATCGTGCAATGAAGCCACGCAGACAGAGTGACATGTCACTTCAATATGAGCAATTTGAAAACAACCTTTTCTTCAATATGCTCTTCTTTTTACGTGCACATGTCGTGATTCTCCAGGAAGCTCATCTCCTTGTTCCTGCCAAGGAATTCATTGAGCAAAAGAATTGGACAGTTTGTTTCAATGATTGGGAGAATCTTGCAGTGATGGCTAGATTGGCACCAGGTGGATATGTCAAGATCATTGCTGGACATGACCAAGAACTTGGTCACTGCCAACAGCGTGATGTAACTTGGGCTATCTACGAGATTTGTTTTGGAGAAACACGGCGTCGTCAAGAATTCAAGGATGCAGACTTTGAATTTGCGGACTATGGTCCTAAGGAACAGCGTGTTCCACTTACTCGAGCGAACATGCATACCATCAGAGTCTGTAATTATCATGTTGATACACACCGTGCTGTGGATGCCCACCTATTGACAGGAGAACAGACAGCATTGATGCTGTATGAGTGTTTTGTATATGAGGTGGACATCATTTCTGGTGATGCAAATAGTTTGGCCTACAGAATGTCTGGATACAAAAGGCAGCCAATGGCTAACTATTATTACAGCACCATGCAGCATTGGATCCGCAAGTTTTCAGAAGCCCGTGTAAAAGCAGATCCTGGTATCAAAGCACCTATTCCCAGAACTTTTTACAGTTCATCTTCACTTGTCCTCAAGCAGTGTGAAGATTACTTTGAGAAACTCTGGGAAGAATACTCTACAGAAGAGAAAGAAGTATACCAGGGATCAAAGCTTGGCGATACATGTTTGTCTACCATTGTTGAATGGGGTCATTCAATGAGTGGAGAGGAATATTCAAATTCCACAGTGAGCACGAAGGAGTTCATCTGTAATTTTTCAGAGAACTTTGCTTTGATTGACACGGAGGTTATGTGCTCAAAACCCTCTGACGATGACAGTCATGGTCCTATGTTTATTTCACTCAGACCAGCTTCCTTTTCATCTGGAGACAGAAGGCTTTATCGCTCGGGCGAGACTCTTCGAGATGCTAACTTGCGAAGGAAGGAGAGACAGAAAGAGAATAAAAGGAAAGGGAGGCCGCCAACTTCTGATCAAGCAGCTTCATCGACTGCAGCGGCAGGAACTCAGAGCGGAGGCTAAAATTTAAATGATGGTTAGGAAGTGAAGATACTTCTGATCACAGTTGATACTTTGCTTCCAGGCTTGACTTTAAGTTGCCAGGCTGAAGTTTTAATGAATCCTGGTTTGCGACAAGGAGAAACTTTTTATCAAAGAAGATACTCCTGCATTCCAGGTTTATACGCTTTAGCATGCAGATAAATACAGTTTACTAAACGGTTATTATCTGCAGGTAGGTATGGACAGTTTTTCAGAACTGATGATAACTACCATAGCCGCTCTTCTGAAATGACCTCTAATGGACAAACATTCATGGTTGATGATTAAGTCATTTTATGGGTTTGCATTTGTAGTGCAAGATTTTGTACATACATTTGCCGGTATCTCCCTTCCTTTTTGTTTTTGGCTGATTTTGGTGTCAATGTGAGAGAGTCCTTTTGATGCAGTTCCATTTTAATTTAAGTCCTGTGTATGGAAGCGGCCGAGACCACTTATAGAGAAGAACATTTCTCGGACCGAATAATTTACGCTCCTTGCATTTTGCAAGGCATTTTAATTCATTGCAATTTGTGCGGTCTTGAATTTTTAGTTCTTCGTTACGCGAGTGTCGTTTACTGCTTTTATAGGTCTCTGTGCAAAAGAAGCCGCTTTCCTTTGAATTTATAGTTTCTTTAGAGCTCTGGCTATTTAAGGGCTATTGAGCGCCGGTACATGGTATCTTCGCCGGTGAACGATACAGTCTCCAGCCGAGATACATTGTCTTTGACTTTGTATTTGAGGTGAGTCAGCTATTGCTCCCTCACTGTATTTAGTATACCTTGAGATTACCTTTTCAATAGTGTGATCACACACTGGAATTGGTAAGTACAGGGCACCGTAGTTTCCTTTTAAGCTTACTAGAGCTAGCTGGACTGTTTTAGCCTTGCGGTAGAAAAATAGTGTGCGACGTACGCAATAGGCAGGAGTGGACATGAATTTTGTGCCTGCTGAAATGTAGAGGCCTACTTGTACAGGTTCCACTCCAGTGGCCTATCTAGTGTGTCCATGCTTGACTGCCATAAGGCTCAAGAGGATAAGACTCTGCGTATAAAAGACACTAGCGGTCTGCACCTCAACCGTGTACGCCCTAGTCACTCTTTCACCCCCTCCCCCTCCCCCCCCCAGGATCGAATCCCCCCTGGCCCCTGGGACGAATCACTCCTCTCAATTTTATTTTATCGTTTGGATTCGAATGAATCTGCTGCTGCTGCTTGGTGGTCTGCTGCTTGGTGGTTTGCTGCTGCTGCTGCTGCTGCTTATGCTGCTGGTTTGTGGTCTGCTGCTGCTGCTGCTGCTTGGGGGCAGCTGCTGCCGACTAACCTTTCGTCCACCCCCCTTTTCTCAAGTGAATTGTAATTCCAATTTTTGAGAAAGTAAATTCTGCTGTGAGTGCCAAGGAGGACATGGTCACAGATGTCCTTCTCCTACAAGGAGTCATGCAGCGTGGAAGGGTTGGCCAAATTCAATCTTCTGATTTGGCGGATGTATGACCCATATCACAGGCCTTTATTGAAATTGGATGAACAGTTGAGGTTTGGCCCAATCTGGCTGAAGATACGAGTGATTGTTTTGTCTCCTTCTGAGGAGAAGGGAATCATCACTTCTTGGAACAAAAAGGCAGAGGAGGCAAGACCTGGTTGCGGTGACACGTACTCAGAAGCTACCAAATCCATCTGAAAAGACAACACCCTCCCAAACCAACAGCCGTGAGCCGTCAGCATCCATGCAATTTGTATTAGACTTATACTCTAGCATCGTTTGGAGGTTATGCTGATGCGAGTGGTTACTGCAAAAAGCTGCGACAAAGATGGTGGCGCTAGCGGTCTTTGAATATCAGCAGGTGGTTTAATAATGCGAGTGACTGCTGATTGGTGCTGTATCGGACTGCTGATTGGTGCTGTATCGATACTGCTTGGCTTAGAGGGTTACGATTTAGAAGGGTTGAAACTCAACAACCTGATTCTAGTTCAATCATGTTGAATCTTTATTCTATTGCTGAAGTTGGAAATTGGATTTGAAGTATCAGTCCTCAGTCCTCCGGATGAAGCCAGATTAATGTCACCCTCTCGTGAATGAACAGATATGTGTGGGTGCCGGTGTCGCTAGCAGATGTTCTCGATTCCTTCTGCCAGGTTTTGGGGCATAAGTCGCAGGATGTTGTGGGCAAGGAGTGGGGCAAAGATCAGAACTGCGACGGGGAAAAGACAGCAAGGACATTTGATTTTAGTGTTTTTGGTTTTGAACTCCAACGGTTTGCTTTGCCAGGTGTGGACTGACCTTGTCTCAGAGGGCTGGGCCGAGCATTGCTTGGAGGCCCTGGAAAAGGTGCAGCTTCAGGGCGAAGAGGTTGTCTTACCCCTGGTGACAGGCCGGCACCTTATGCAGAAATTGCCTTTTGAGGAAATCTGATGCTGAACCCCTGCGAAAAAAAAAAGAAAGAAAAAAACACACAGCACTCTTCACTGCCTTGTGTATCGGCATGTCTTTGAATCTTGGAGTAGCTGGACATTAGTTCGGCCATGTTTTTTTCCTCTTTGAGTTTGTTTGCTGTTCGCAGCTACCCCGAGGAGATGGACTCCACTCCGCAGTTCGATGTGTGGTTCGCACTTGGGTTTGAGAGAGGGATAGTGTGTGAAGGAACGATCAGGGTCTCGCAAGGTACGGCTTCCTGCCGCGTTTATCACAGTCAGGGAGGAGTCAGGCGCACAGGCAACGCAGAAAGTGCCAGGATGTTTTGTTTGCTCTGGGGAACAAACAAGATGGACAGCTTCCATCAAAGAGATACAGAGTTAGTTGCTCTAAAGAAAGGACCTCTAGGAATCTCAAGCTTGAGCAAGCAGAGTTGGCCTCTTCCATGCCAACAAGTTGTGACAAGCCATGGTATTTGCTATCGAATCCGGGGGCTGAATCAGCATCATCAGACTCCAACATGTTTGAACACACTGCTCAGGTAAGTTTGGACGCTGCAGCTGCTTCCTGTTCTCCTGTGGGCACACACCACCATCACCCACAGTATGCACTTGGCCCTTGGAGATCCGCTCGATGGAAGGTCGAAGTGGAAAGTACTGGTGCTGTACAGTCAGGATAGTTTTGCCTTTGACGCGGCACTTGCAGGCCTTGGCAAATGCGCCTTTGCTTTACGAGATCTTCCAGCTGGTGAAATGATCTTGGAGGAGAACCCAACAAACTGGACCTCCAAATGGTTAAGTTTCACCAAAACATCTAGGAACAAAATCGCTAGAAGTGTGAGCTATCCTGCGTCCTAGGTAGGAGCTTCCTAGTGCTAGTAGCTTAACTCCTTACTTAATTAAATAGGCGCCCACTCATTTAAGTAAGGAGGCAGGGCCAGGGGAAAGAAAAAGAAACAACCTGATTTTATTGTCATCCCATTTTCATGAAACCATTCGATCTTCGAGACGACCGGACGACCACGACCTGCAGAAAAGAAACCGTCGGGTTTGCAGATGGGTCCGTTCCGTGAGGGTCTCGTCCGACTGCCTCGAGGAGGAGCCCTTTTACACGCGAATGCCTCGAGCGCAGCTCCAGAAGCGGCCCGAGTGGGATCAGGTGGGATGAAATTGGATCAACATCATGAACCCACTTTGAGCGGATGATGTGGATGCCATGGATGCCCATCTCATTGAAGTTAGTGTTCTCATCCGAGACGAGCTGCAAAGATCGATTTATTCTTTACCAGTTCGGGACAGTGCTGAGCAGTTGACTCAACATTGTCAATCCAAAAGTCGGGACGGAGTTGAGATCTTGCTTGTGAAATCGACATTTGAGCAGCCGATCCACACTACAACAAGAGCGTTTGTGAACGGACATCTAGAGTTTAGGATGGTTTGTTTGGTTCCCGCATCCAAGAGAGCTTTTGTTTTTGACTTTTGGTCAACGGCGAACAGCCACGAGAAAGAATGACTCGTATTAGGCAAACGGCCAGCAACCACCGGAATGACTGAAGGAAAAATCGGCAACCCAATGCAAGTGTCAAGTCCAATTAGGCCCAGGGCTCTCAAGAGGCTCGTCATCCGAAGTCATCGGGCTTTCGCGAGGCCTGGCTGGCTGCTTTTAACGGCATCCGTGCTGCGCTCAAAGCGCCTGAGGGCTCACCCTTCTCCGAGATGCCCGAGAAGCCATTGCTGGTGGGAGATCAGTGGGATTTTGTAACAAAATTCCATCTGATGTGGTCAACTTGAAACTCCACTGAGCATTGTCACAGGAGCATCCTCACATGTATTTGAAGAGAAAAACGACCAGAGAACCGCCTTGACGGATGCGGAGAGCGCGATAGACTGAAGACTAAGCCGGTTCGGGAGCGTTGTTTTGCTAAGGGGTACAGACTGAAGATGGTCACCAGTTGATAGAACCTTAGTGTCTGTTCCAGGCCAGCACAGCCCTCGTCCTTGATTTGATAAGCTTCGTGCTGCTGCCAGAAAGCTTGAAAGGTGCCTTTGCTTAAACCTGATGGGTCAAACTGCAAGCATCTACCATGGCATAAGCGTGCAAAGCAAGAGGCAACTAATCCCGAGTACCTATTAAAAAACGGACCCCAATTACAAAAAAGTCATGTCGGATCCTCCTAAATACGGTTTATATTTGTTTTTCAATTACCGCCCTTTCAAGCCGCTACTAAATTACCAACATGGCCGATTTTGGAAGGGCTCACGCAAACGCACTTGCCACCGAGGTCATGCAACACCGCATGGCACAGCGACATCACCTTTCGAAAGCTTTAGCTGTTAGTCTACTGAAGAATCACTACTCTAATGAAGGTTTTTGTAGGGGAAAAGGAAGACCCTTCGATCTGGAGGTTTTTTGCATTTTTGATACGAGTTTAATGACAGACATTATATAAAAATTTCCTGGATTACTTTTTGGTTTTGAAACTCTTTCCAGGTGACCCTATTTTGGACCCCCCAATTTCAGGGACCCCCTATTAGAAAAAATGCGACCGAGGTTTCCTTATTAGGGGGGGGCGTGTTTTTTAATGGGTGGAAGGGATTAGTCTGGATCTTTATCTCTTGCAACCTTTATCGTGGATTGTTAAAACGGCCTCCATTATTGGTTCCCTCCACACTGTTGAACTGGCTGCTCACCCGCGGCTCTGCCACTTTCGGTCATTGACAGGCAACAAACACTTACCTGAATCTACAGCCTACCTGTGCTGTTACATGACCTCACATGATGCATAGAGACCCCTCATGTCAGTATCAGAAGATCTTCAGCTTCGCCTAGGCGCCTTGTACGGCTTTAGCTCCCCAGCCTTGGACTCGGATCACGCCCTGGTGGAGGTGGCCAGGCAGCTGGCAGAACTCTGTAAGGAGCGGCTGCCAGAGTGCAAGGTGGCTCGGCTCAGCCTGATATTCAATGATATTCATCGCCCAAGAAACTGATGATTCTGACTCTGTGCTAGGCGATGGTCTTCAACCACTGTCCACAGCAAATCTTTTACCAACCTCAACAAGTCATTTGAAAAAAGAAACAATACATTAGGTGTACGCGTCAATCTGGATGCCCATGTTATAGTCTCAAGAAACGGTGTGTTGAAATCTTGGTGGATGTTTGTGGGTCCTTTCTGAGAATTCCTCAAGCAGGCCAAGAAAGCTGAGGCTTGTTTCCCAGGAAAAGATCTGGGCGTTCCATCCCTTTATATAAACGGCTCCAATTTGAGAGCTAAGGATGCTGATTTGGGTATGCTACAGTTTGCCATTCTGGTGACTGAGATGAGACTTGCTTGTCAAAGTGGGCATGGGCACCATCCAAGTGCTTTAGATCGGTTCACCCTGAGGTTTGGTTTCGCGCTGTCGCATTGGTCGCTTGGGAACACAAATAGAAGCTACCCACAACAAGACCACAGCAAATGACGCCATCATATCAACAATGCAAAAGCGCAGTTGAGTACACATGAGCACTAACTTTTATTTAGGCTTCACTAAAGTAGTCTACGGCATGCTCTATTTGCTTGTCTATCAGCAGTATTCGTTTGTGATGACACTAAAGTAGTCTGAACGAGATACTGTGACATGACCTCCTACTTAAGTAGTCTAAACGAGATAGGGCCCCCAAAGAATTGAAGTTTAGTACCAAAAAAAGGCCACCGCACACATGTTTAATTGTTTGTTGTTGCCACCCTCTATATGCATTTCCGAATCAGAGGTTTTTGTGTTAATCGAACTTGCCAGCATTTTGGTTCACAAAACTTTCACTTCTCTACTGGTGGCAGTGACGTGCCAATGTGAGGGGGGGTTGGTCTCTGCGGTTCCTCGAAGGAGGTTTTGGAAGTACATGATATACACTGGACACCAGATCAGCGATTTGACCGTCAGCACATAGCTTTAGAATAAACCTAACAGTTTGGTGGCTGATCGAAACCTATATGCAGCTAAAGAAGCCCAAGCTCAGTTTGCTGCATCCAGTTTTTGGAGTATCACCGCTCCAAGCAGAGGAACATTTTTCCGGGTGGCCGCATCTTTTGGACAATGAGCAACTTGGAAGAGACTGGCCTTTCTTCAAGAGACACTTAGGGACTATGAATATATGGAATGAAGTAGACGAGAAACACAAGGCTTGTTTTAGTTCTATGATGCCATTCTTTTGGGTCATGCATGACATGCTTCTTTAGACATTGATTTCCTTGCTTTTGGGCAGACCAGGTCGCATCAACCACAGCTGCGCTCCCAACTGCGTTTTCAGCGCAGCGCCGAATCGCTGGGGCTTGCGCAGCGTGCGGCCGATCAGTGCTGGAGAGGTGGGGGACGTGAGCCAGGCTTTCCCCAATCTTTTGTGTTTTAATATCAACCTAATACGCAATGACCTCCAAAAGCTTTCAGCGCTCGGCAAAAGCATGTTGACCAGCTTGCTGGTGCCTATTCTGCTAGAGTCATTGGGCGGGGTATTTCCTGATTTGTCTTGGAGAGATAGATGTTGGACAAGTCATGAGGACTCTTTTAAGGAACACTCTGTAGTATGCCTACCTGCTTACCTCCGCTTGGTCAGGAGATCACCATCTCATACTTGGGAGAAGAGCTGCTGCTGCCGACGGTGCAGCGACAGTGGCTGCTGTGGCGCTCCAAGTGCTTCTTGAAGAGTGCATGGTCAGTTCGTGGATGGGTGTTGTTTGGCGACCATAGACTTCTTTGTTTCTAGCCAGGTGCTTGCAGCGTTGGCAAATTCTGAGAACTTGCTCTCACTTGGATTCTTCACCAAATGGAGCTAGACACAGACGGCACCATAGGAACGATATCAATCCATACTTTGCATCCTTATCCATGCTGCAACTAACCATGAGTTGCTGACGCATATGCAACCATAAACACGCAACTTCTAATGACATAACCCGACACCTCTTTGGGGGCCTACTTTTTTCAAAGCGACTTTGAGCATTCCTTGATTGGCCTTCAAACAGCTCATATCGGGGCGTGTTCTTCAACACCTACTGTTGCTGCAGCAACAAATCCCACATCAGCAAAGATAGTCCTGCCCCTTCGACCAGTGTCGAGTTTACTGGAACAAGAGGCTCTCTTGTTGATGAGTCAATCCCAGGGATTTTAGTATTTCAACTTGTGAAGCTGATATCTGTGCTATGTCATATGTACTGTAGCATAGTCTTGTGAGCAAGAAAAGCAGCATCCATGAGTTGACAGTTGACACGTTCGTGCAACATGATTTGCTGCAACGCTAGCATCCAAGCGTTTGGAACCTGGGGGTCAATGGAGGGATGGCAAGCACCCGGCCCTACAGCATACCGGCAATGATGTGTAAAGCCAAGGTTTCATTTGCGGATGCCGGCGATGTGCTAGCCCTGAGGATTTGTCTTTTCAACATGTTTGTAGCGCAGTGGGGCCGTTGTAATCCTTGTGCATTCAATAGTTTTGTGCTCACAAGAGGACCCCCTTCGCGACCGAGCTTGCAGCTCCTGCATGCCTCTGCCAAAACGCTGGCGGGTGGGGTGGCCCAACGACAGATTGGTTGGTCGAAACGCACAGTATCACTCTGCAGCAAGGAAAGGGGACCTTACTGAGAATGGTAGAGGTGGAACTTGAGACACATTGACATTGATGTGAGAGGTGGTTCCCTCGTCCATCCTCGTTCGACCACAGCCCGGAGATGGAGACCACTTACCGCGGCTGCTCGCAGGTCGTTCATCAGCCGGCGGTCTGGCGCCGCAAGGAGCCCTCCACTGCTGGCCGTGCTGTGGCCTTGTTGAAGGAAGGCACGGAGTTCGACACCAATGGAGTGTGGCTCAGCCATTATCCGATGTGCTTGGGTTTGTGCTTCTTGAGTGTAATCAACGGCTTCTTCTTTGTGTTTTTGGCGTCACTGAGTTGGGGGATCCAAGGTCGCAACGTACCAAGGAAGGGCTTTGGATCTTTGCGGAGGACAGTGATCTGATGCTTGGACGGGGCTCTTGTTGGTATGAGCGTTGATGAACACAACACCCTTTCTCAAAGGGAGATCCAGCGTCTGGTGTGCTTTCCAACAATACGTCTGCCTACAGTGCCTGCCCACAGTCAGCTTTTAAATCTTAGGAAGAAGAATGGCTGGGTGCTGGTGGATGGCTCCACCTTGGGTTGCAGCCTGAAGTTAAACATACAGAGACTCTGGAGTTAGAAGGCCCCTTTAACGGGGTCCAATTTTTTTTGGCCCCTACCTTACTATTTTTTACTTTTCTCGTTTTTTAAATTCTTCTTGTGTGTGTGCTTGACTTTCAGCACAGAGAGAGAGAGAGAGGGAGAGCATGGTTTCTGAAGCTGTGGCACAGCTCAATCTCTCCAAAGCGCAGGTTTGGGGCAGCTGATCGAACCCATTGACGAGGAGTTTGCCAATATTTGGCCCGGAAGGTCTGGGCGTGTGGAACGGTTCTCAAGGAACAGAATTCTAGAGAGCTCTGGTCGAAGATCTTAGACTCTTCGAGCACAAGGCTGCATGTCGTGGAATCCCTTGCAGTTTCTTCTCAGTGTTGGGATACGCTGGTGGGATTAATTATGGTTGGGAAGTTGGCATTGGGAAAAGCACCGGCGCCATTTGTTGCCCTTAACCAATTGAGCTTCCGAAAGACCGCTGCAAGAACATGTCCTGCAGGCTCAAACACCGTTTGAAGAGGACCGTCTTCAACCGTCCAGGTGCGGATCCAGAGTCGTAGAGATGGATCAAACCCTTACTCTGGTTTCATTGTTGTGTTGCTGAAAGGCAAATGCTAGATACACATCAATACACTTTATTGATTTCATAGGATCGGATAGTAGTTGCGCGACCCAATGTGCAATATGGTGCAAATTGGTGCAATATGCTTTAAGGGCATTCAAAGGCACCTGTACATAGCCATACTAACAAGATGATCGTCACCCCAGTCGTTTGAATTACGACTAGCCCTGACAAGTGTTGCCGGAAAGGTTGCGTTTGGTGTTCCAAGCGAGGTGTGGCATTTGTCGGAAGATTTAGAGACCTAGGGAAGTTGTGTTTTCGGACTCTTTCTGCATCCCAATCATTTCAAATTGATTGCACTGGCCATGCTTACAGTTCCAGGGGATGCAGCCCGTGAGCATTATCTCAATTGGTATGACTTGGATGCGCAGAAGCTGACGGCATGGCACTGGCGCAAGGACGGCAAAGATGATCTAGGACCTTAGGAGGCTTCAGGTGAGGAATGTGGGTTTGAACAGTCAATATTTGGGAGAGAGTGGGTAGGACAGGCGTCCACATGCGACATACTTGTTTGTGGATTGATGCGGCTTATGTGCTCCTAGAATATTGGACAAGACAATCATTTAGCCTGCCACGGCCTAGATGACAAAGGAAGAAGATGAGTTCGAGGAGAGCGATTCTGCAGGTGTCTTTGTTGCAGAGTGAGAAGAACATAGCCGCATGCCACGCCCTGTTGCCACAATTTGCAAGGTTCCTCCTATGCGCGCTTTTCTCGTGAGCGGAATTGGACATGCGAAAGCTGTGGAGAAGAGATTGAAGCGTTCGTGAAGGAGGAGCGCCAGAGAGGAAGTTCCAGCATTCCCACTCGAGCAACTGTACTCTTCTCGCGTCCTGGAGATATACAACCTTTAGATCCACGACGCTCAAGTGTTGTGCCTGTATCCAAAGATTGGCTCGATGTGCAAAAAACATCGCACAGTTTGTAAAGATATTTTTGGATGCAAATTCTTATTGTATCCAACCGTTCATCCAAAGACGACTCCAATTGTGCGGAAGACGACTCCAATTGATGCACCGTTTCGACCACACACGTGTCTTCTATCCAAGCATGGAAGAAGATGAAGACTGCACCGTTTCGAAGCTTCTTAAGAATCAGAATCCGAGCCCTTTTTCAGTGGCTTCCTGACTCTTGCTTACCTTTCTACTAGTTCTACTTACTTGCTACCTCTCACTACTGACCTCTTCACAGATGACCTCTACAAGACAAGCGCCAAACAGACAGAAAAACAAGGAAGTCTTGTTTTGCCTGCTGCAAGAGCAGTAGCTTCTAGTTCCTCGTAGTAATGTCCTTGTTACTAGTAGCGATGCCCTTGTTACTAGTAGCTTCTAGCCTACAAGAGTCTGTTCAGAATCCAGGAGCAGCTTCTTGGAGAAGTCGCACAACGTGTATTTGCACCATGTCGTGATCAACCAACCCTGCGGCAGTCAAGTCACTAATGTGTTGGGTTAATGAACAAGGAAGTAATGTGGTAGATCACAACAGCAGGGGCACAGGGGTAACCTGTTTGGATTGCATGCATGTGCTTTGCAGAAGTTTCGAAAGAGATGCATCCCAATTTGGCGGTTGTTGGCTAATGATCAATGACCCTGTGAAGGGATAGTCGAAAGAGCATTCAAAGCCTTTGCTGAATGTAGGAGGTGGACAGGGACTCTCAACAACCCCTTGGGTTGCTCACACAATGGCATCAAGTTGTGTGTCCTCATACTATCGGAAGGGCTTTCTTGCAGTGAAAGACTTTGTGCGAGGGTCACACCCTACTATTGTGCAAGGCAGTGTTCACCAGTCTTGCATACTCAAAGCCTTAAGCTACTCGTAGGTTGTTTTAGACAGCTGACGGTGTTCGAGGCCATGGCATTGCATGACCAAAGACGAGCTTCCGCGGCGGGCGTTAAAGGCTGCAACCATGATGCCAATCCGACCGAACTGACAAACCTAGAAGCTTGCCATCCTTCCGGTGGCACATGCGCACATGACATGTGTGCTGCTGCTATGTGCTGCTTGAGTTCATTTCACATGGGAGGCTTGGTTCTGCCAGATGAGAACTTTGTGCTTACCGCGCTGCGCTGCTTTGATGAACAGTTGGTCAGGTTTGCAAAGTCCATTAGAGCATATTAGAGCAAACAGGGCTTGCTGGTTGACCCGAGGCCTAGCAGATGACGCTGGGCGCTTGTTTGGCCGTCGGCACTGGATCTGGCAAATGGGCCTGCTTTTTGCTGTTGACTTGGATCTATCATTGAACAGGCCGAAGGGAATTTTAGTGCCGTCCTTTTATGGGCAAGGATCCTGTTTATCTAAAGCACTGATATTGTAGTTGCTGCAGTTGCCTTGTACCGAACATTTCAAGGACTGATTTGGGTGGGCCAATACAATAGCCTCCAAAATGATTGCTTTGATAGCATTTGGAACCTTTGCGCATGATGCTTGTTTTGCTGCGAAGCCTGGTTGCACCCTTCCGTGGGAACGAACACCAGATTCGCCATGAAAAGCACATCATCCAGACATTCACATCACTTATACGTATATCAAGGGCTCATGAAAACCATGCGTCAGGTTTACATACCGAAAGTGGGATGCCGAGTGGATCAGCGGAACCGCCTCAATGCTGCTGGAGGCCATGAATCCAGCGCCAAAGTCACCGCGTGGGCGTGTTCTTTTAACCCTGCTTTGGCACCTGTGCATGCGATACTAGTGTCAGCCAAGTCGCACATGTCCCATCCAAAACTAAACAGACGAGATCTCAAATCTTCCTGTGGCTGGTCCAAAGTGTTTGTAGAGCATAGATAGTTTCATCTAAGCTACGCATGACCGAATTGAACAGCCTTAGTCACATGGCGAGGAAAAACCGTGGGAACCTTTCGAAGACTGGGTCCATCGCAGCCAGGTCTGGGATTGGCTGGCATCTTTGGAGCTTTCACAGGACGGGTGCTGATTCAATTCGTCGTGTGACATCTCAGCGTCCAGCTGAACCGGCTGAACCCAAGGTCTCATACTAAGCAAAAGACTGGCAACGGCCGTACTGGTAAGTGAGTGAAAGACGGCACGCATTGTTGAAAAAGGCAAGTGCATCAGTGCATCATTGGAATCATCGCTTGAGACACTGAAAGCAGCTTTCCCAGGCACCCAGTTACTTTCTCCACAGTCGTGCTTCGCGCCTGTCCAAAGAGATGGAGAATGTCCCATGGCTGAGAAGCGAAGCGAAAACGTCAGGGAGCGCGCCTGTGGCCCCAGGACCCTCATCATCATTGATTCACGAAAATGAATAGGATGGACTGATGGACCGACTAGGGACATCAACCTACCATGGTTTTGACCAACAGCCATGTATTGTATAGTAGTCATTACGCTGATATTTGATGGACTCAGTGTATTGTGTTGCAACAACCTCCCTGACTACAGCTGAACATTTTTGCTGGACTTCTATTGCAAGACAACGACGTTTCACCTTGCCGTAGTTTCCTAATTGTTTCCCGAATGCGTAGCGAAGGGTTCTCGTTTAACTCTTGGGGGTCTGGGGGTAGAGCTTTGTTCGCGACCCGTTGCTTCTATGTTCGCAACCGTCCGCAACCGTCCGCAACCGTCGGCAACCGTTCGCAACCGTCCGCAACCGTCCGCAACCGTTCGCAACCGTCCGCAGTAGAGCGCTAAGGCGCTGCCATTGGGGGAAGCTTTTGCAAGTGACTTTTCATGGATGTGTCACGTGTCAGTTTGCGCCGCTATTCCATTGTGATTTGCATGAGAATGAGATGTCGCGCAAGAAACGTGATGCGTTTCGCTGCGCAGGCGCAGCGTTTTGTGAGATCTGCAGATTGCTGCGCAGTTCCATTGGGATTAGCGTTTGGAGAGTCGTGTTTTGGGGTGTTGGATGTGACATTTCGTGGCAGGCGCAGTACTTTGTGCGCGTTAGACGTGTGGATGAGGAAAGATTCGTGGCAGGCGCAGGGAATCGTGAGGTCGTGAGTTGTGGTAGAGGTGAATGTCGCTGTCACATTGGGATTGGCGTGTGAGCGGGTATTGTTTGGAGGGGCTGGACTCGCGAAACTGCTTGGCAGGGCTGCGTGATGTGTGTGCTGCGATGGGTGTTTCCGCTTGACTTTTGGAGGAAGTCTCGTACGAAATCCTCGTTTTGCAGACTTTGACATGTGAGTTTTGGAGGAAGTCTCGTACGAAACGCTCGTTTTGGAGACTTGACACGTGACTTTTGGAGGAAGTCTCGTACGAAACGCTCGTTTTGGAGACTTGACGTGTGACTTTTGCAGGAAGTCTCGTACGAAGCGCTCGTTTTGGAGACTTGACGCGTGACTTTTGGAGAAAGTCTCGAACGAAACGCTCGTCTTGTGCAGCCTCGAAGCGTGACTATTGGAGGACGTCTCGTACGAAACGCTTGCAGGACTGCTTCCAGTGTGCCACAAGAGTGTCCCACAAGAGTGTCCTACAAGAGTGTCCCACAGCCACGTCACAAGAGTGTCCCACAAGAGTGGTCCTACAAGAGTGTCCCAGAAGAGTGTCCCACAAGAGTGTCCTATAAGAGTGTCCCACAAGAGTGTCCTACAAGAGTGTCCCATAAGAGTTTCCTACAATAGTGTCCCACAAGAGTGTCCCACAAGAGTGGTCCTACAAGAGTGTCCCAGAAGAGTGTCCCACAAGAGTGTCCCACAAGAGTGTCCCACAAGAGCGTCCCACAAGAGTGTCCTACAAGTGTGTCCTACAAGAGTGTCCCACAAGAGTGTCCCACAAGAGTGTCCTATAAGAGTGTCCCACAAGAGTGTCCTACAAGAGTGCCCCACAAGAGTGTCCCACAAGGGTATCCCACAAGAGTTTGCTACAAGAGTGTCCCACAAGGAGTGTCCTACAAGAGTGTGGTGTAAGAGTGACCCACAAGAGTGTCCTACAAGAGTGTCTCACAAGAGAGTGTCCCATAAGAGTGCCCGACAAGAGTGTCCTGCAAGAGTGTCCTACAAGAGTGTCGTGTAAGAGTGACCCACAAGAGTGTCCTACAAGAGTGTCTCACAAGAGAGTGTCCCATAAGAGTGCCCGACAAGAGTGTCCTACAAGAGTGTCCCACGAGAGTGCCCTACAAGAGTGTCCCACAAGAGTGTCCTACAAGAGTGCCTTTCAGGAGTGTCCCACAAGAGTGTCCTGTAAGAGTGTTCCACAAGAGTGTCCTACAAGAGTGACCCACAAGAGTATCCTACAAGAGTGTCCCAGAAGAGTGTCCCACAAGAGTGTCCTACAAGAGTGTCATTTGGACATATGTAGCTTTTCGAACGTGTTTGCATTCGGGTTCGTGGGCTCCATCTTGTTGTATTTTTGCTGAAGCCCCACACGCTAGTCCTGAACCAAGGTTGTGCTTGTGCGCTCAGATGTGGAAAAGCAGCCCGCTGTTGAGGAGAAAACATTTCTACAAGTTATAAGTTCTCATTTTCATTGTTTCTGCAACTTTAGGGAATGAAATGGGGATGGGTCAAAACCTGGAGCCCTGGTCCACAATGTTGCTTGACCTTCCAGGTAGGTCAATCAAGGTCTCCCGGTTTTGACCCACAGCCAAATAGCAACACCAACCCTTTGAATTCCCACCGTTTGCTCGCTCCTTCGGCTGCAGGAGCGCTTCCTGCGGCTGCGGAGCAAACTGCAGAGACGAGTGGATGGACTCTCACCACCGGTCGGCTGGGTCGGGAGACAAGAGCCGTTTCTTTTATGGCGTTGGCACAAGCGCCAGTGGAAACCAGTTGTTGATTTCTTTGGTGTTGTTTCTATCTGTGTAGTTGTTGTTTAGACCCTTTGCTCAAGGAAAGGTGTAGAACAATTTGACTTCACAGACGGAGTGTCGCAGACATGGCCGGGTGGCACTTCCTTCGTAGTCCGACAGGTAAGCATCCTGCCCGACCGTGAGTTCATCCCGGAGACTCTCTTCATCGCCCATTGAGCTTTCTGGAGCAGAGATGAGCTGAGTTTGCGATAAGACATTCATTGACATCATGAGGCATATTGCAAAAAGATCCAGTGCCAATGAGATATGATATGAGGCATATGAGGCTTCATTTTCGGAGGAAATTGGTTCCAAAGTGATCCATCCCCCTTGCTACCCGGGTGAACATCATCTGGACTCAGCAATGGACGGAATGCTTCTTTGGCCTGTTTGGTTCAGCATGTCCAAACAATTGCCTCATAGCGCTGATGTAGTGCTGCATTCAACTGCACCAGCGAGAACGTTCTTATGAGTGATCGGTCAGGCACCTTCGCCATCGCCATGTCATTTGTAGATGTTCAATGTTTAGGCTTTCCTCTTTCCACAAAACATGTTTCTGGGTTTGTGGCCTTTGTGGCTGAACGCGGCTGTGTTGGCTCTCTCTTCAGTCTCTGAGACTTGACGGATCTTCAGCGCAAAAGCGCAGCAACCCCATGGCGTGGTTTAAGGCGATGCAAACTCCGGGATGAGATGCATTTCGCATTTTCAAAACAATGCACGTTGCCGTGCTACATAAATGTCAACCAACTTGGGTAGCAGACCTTGAGCCCCTGAGCAGACTTTCCATTCCAGCTCTCAACAGTAAACTGTTTCAGCGAACTCTGAAAGCGCTGGTGGCACTGATCTGCAATTCTGTTGGATCATGTTGGATCTAACTGCTTCAATGTACGGGAGCACATTCTGCATGTTTTTGACTCGTTGCCACAAGGCTCTGCTCATTGCAGCCCTTGGCCATGCAGAGGTGGGTAGCAAGATTTTGCAACTCAAAGCTGCAAGATTGCAGAACCATGAGGATGAACCACGGTGAGCCAGAACTCTTTTCCAGAGACTAGCTTGACCAGATAACTCTGGTAAGAACAGGAAATAGACCCTTCAGCACTGCATTTCAGCCGTTCCCCGGAGGCACAGCACTTGGTTGAAATGCACAAAATCATCGGCATTGAGTGTGGTCAGGTGCAACGATCCGGTCAGATCAAGTTTAAGTGTCTTTTTTTGCTTGTGTCGAAGCACGGAATCAGGTGATGGCAAGTCGTAAACTATATCCATAGCATCTCTGTCACCAACATACCAGCTTATATGCTTGTCAAAAGAAGGAAGGGCGAACTCACAACAACTCCTTGGTGACGAGTTGTGTGAACAGTGATGCACCCGATCCAGGTGGGCTTGGAGCCCAGCTGGGCTGATTCTCTTCAGGAACTTGTTGGCCTCCAGGTGGGTCTTGAATGAGGTCCTCCAATGATTTAGCAGTGTACTGTAGCAGTAGCGTGTCGCAGGTTCACATCTGTCCACATCTGAAGTTTCCGTAATGTAAATGCAATCGTCAAGTCTTTGAACAGCATTAAACACTTTTTGATCGACATGGGTGGATGGACAGAGTCCAACAAAGCAAACTGTTCTATCTAGACAGAGACATCAGACCGTCAGAGACCCATTGATCCTGCTCATATCGAGATGTTGGATCCTCTCCTGCCAGAGGAAGGGCCCTGCGAGTCGAGTGGATTTAGTGAAGCTGCTGGATCCAAGGAGGTGGAGAGACGGTCTTCGCCATAACAAGAACGCATTGGATCATTGGATCACTACTTAGGAACAAAGGGCATCGCTACTAGGAGCAAGGACGCTACTAGTAGCTCTTGGCATTTCTACTAGGAGCAAATAGCTACTACTCGTTCCCCTTTCCTTGAAGAATTCAATCATGCTCAAAGAGAGAGAGAGAGAGAGAGAGAGATTGGCCGATTGATTTCATTGTGCAGAATTGCTTGCTTCATGGAGGTGGATCTCCCACTGATCGGGGCTTTCAGCTTCGCAATCTTTAGGAAGCCCGAAACTCACGCTGTGCAAAGAATTTGTGAGGTGTTTGCTCTTCAGATCTCTTCAGTATGGTCAAGTTTTCGCTGTGTTTTTCTCCTAAAGCCGAGTTTTGTGATGCAGTGGTCCAGAAGCGACATTCCCCGTCCTTGAAGGCCTGACATTTTGGGCATTGCTGTCCAGCTAGGCAAGGCACCCTCGACTGTGGGTCGTCATTGTCAGACTTGTCAGATGCTTCTGGGATGATCTCCAATCGCATCCCCTTTCTTCCATTCCGAGAAGATTAGAAGATCAGCAAAACCTGAGAGTGTGAGTAGTTTGTGGTTACTGTTATGAGGCTTGTTCCAATGAGTGCCCAATCAGGTCAGCAGTTAGGAGGAGATCCTGCAACGCGAGGTTCGGAGAAGCGAACGGGCATGGGGAAGGAAAGAGTTTATATAATTGGTTTTTGATGTTGTTGTGTCAAACACAATATATATATATACAGTATATATTTATACATTATAATGTTCTCAAAGGCCCTGTTAGGTCTTGGCCTAACTATCCCATTGCTTGTGTCAGAGAGAATGCTTTCTTTGGGCGGTTGCTCGTTTTTGCACGCCACGCGTTCGAACAATCGTTTTTGCACGCGGATGGATTCAATCGTTTTTGCACGCGGGAGTATCTTATGAACGCAATCTTATGCATATATATATATATTTTTTCAAAACATAGTATATATGTTTTTCAATCTTATGAACACAATCTTATGAACCCTTTCAGCGCTTCAGAGTCACACTGTCTGGTTGCTAACTGCAACCACCCCACCCCACCCCCACCCCCAACCCGCTCATGGGTTTGCGTGGCAGAAATGTGCTTTGAAAGGCAATCAGAAGTGTGTGTGTGTGTCAAACCCTGTCCCTAAGGGCTTTCCATGTTTCCAAAGCAGGGGCGTACGGCTCGTCATACCCACCGTACGCAACGAAGCTACGGTATGACGAGGGAGGGGTGGACTGATCATCCACCTGTACCTGCTTCAACGGTTGAGCACGCTGTTCCAATCATCCTGTTTTGATTCTACGGTGGTTCATGATACTTCCCCCAAACTTTCTCCCACCGCCGACAGCAGCAGACTTGCGGCCGTGCTGAGTGTCTTTGCAAGCACGGTTTAAACCATACTGTTTTCGCCGACCTCTTCACCTTGCGGTTCTTCACCTTCCTTCTCGACTTGGGAACTGAGCTAACTGCAAACCAATGTCAGAGTGTGAACCGCTCAGCCGGCCCACTTGGGTGCTGGGTGTGATCCCACTGGGGAAGCCATGCTGGAAATCGTGTGACAGACTTTTCGGTCGCTTCATTCCGTTTATTTTCTTAACCGACTTCTTCTCACCACTGGATCAACTGCTTTACGAGCCGCCGGGCTTATACGGTTTGACCTCACTGAATTAACAGCCGCCGGGCTTGTACGGAGAATGAACCCAAACGCGGTTCCTACCCCAAACACCCCAACCCCTCCCACCCACTAATTAGGATAACAGAGGGAAATGGTACTCGGCACACTTGTGTGTCGGTGCCTTTCCCTCTGTTGTCCCTTTTCTAGTTTTCTCTACCCGGGCGGTTTAAGACTAAAGTCCCGCGCCCTAACTATTGCACTTAATTCATTTCTGCTAAGTAATCAGTAACTCTAGAGTGCTAAGTATTCAGACACACACACACACATGTACACACACATGGACATACACCCCCTCCCTGCCCCCCCACTTTCCTTCTTGCGCTTTTCGTCGTTTGTTGGGCTTTCTCTCAGGCTTTTTAGGTTGCTCTTGAGGCTCGCTTCCCTACCCCAGTCAAGGGCTAAGTATTCACTTTTTTCTACTCCTACCTTTCTCTCTTGCCCTCTTAGCGCTGCTCTTTCTGTGTTTCTTTCTTTTGTTTCTAAGGCTTTTTAGGTACCTATTCAGGTCGTTCGCACGAGCGCCGCAAAGCGGCACCGTGTGTGTGTGTGTCAAACCCTGTCCCTAAGGGCTTTCCATGTTTCCAAAGCAGGGGCGTACGGCTCGTCATACCCACCGTACGCAACGAAGCTACGGTATGACGAGGGAGGGGTGGACTGATCATCCACCTGTACCTGCTTCAACGGTTGAGCACGCTGTTCCAATCATCCTGTTTTGATTCTACGGTGGTTCATGATACTTCCCCCAAACTTTCTCCCCACCGCCGACAGCAGCAGACTTGCGGCCGTGCTGAGTGTCTTTGCAAACACGGTTTAAACCATACTGTTTTCGCCGACCTCTTCACCTTGCGGTTCTTCACCTTCCTTCTCGACTTGGGAACTGAGCTAACTGCAAACCAATGTCAGAGTGTAAAGATGAGTTGTCATCTGTGTGCGAATCTGAGTGAGATTTCAGGGGGGGTCTGTGTGCGAATATGAGTTGGATCTGTGTGCGAATATGAGCGGCCTCCCCTTTCTTTTGCGAGAATGCTTTAGAAGGCCTCAACCAAATGTTTTCGTCCAAGCCGCAAAGGACATGCCTGCTGCCAGCGTTGTGAGAAGGACTCCCAAACGCTGAAGGGCTCAAAAGAAAATACGAGGTGGCAAAGTCCATGGCATTGCGCCTATAAATTCCGATAGGATGTCTTCCCTATATCAATGCCAAATGCCAATCATTGACGTTCAAGACCGTGTCGTTTTGATTTTTCTTTACAACGTAATTGTGTCTTGTGAGTCTTTGGTCAACATGCAGAGACAAAGAGATCGTGTCCGGTGGAGGACTCGGAGAAATATGTGCGCGTGGCCTCTGGTAATTGCCAAGAGGCTTGGCCTCTGAATCTGGCTTTGCCAGACTTGAATCTTTAGATCTACAATGATCTACAGATAGTGGGTTCAAACATCTAGGAACCAAGTTAATTAAGGCTCATGTTTCTTTGAGGAAGCTCCCTCCTGCCCTCAGGCCGGGGAAGCTTAGCTCTTAGCTGGTAGCTCCTCCCTACTCTTACCTACGTATATAATCCTACTTACCTCCCCACCAGCTTGCAACCGTCTCCTGACTCCAGACATGCTTGAGCGCGGGCAAGAAGTTGATCATCTCGATGGCTGGGCTTCTGGAGATCTCGTGACTGAAACGCCAAGATGTTGGAGATCCCGAATGGTTCCAAAAAAACTCAAAGAATCTAGGATGACAGCAATCTGACTGGAACATTGTCATGGAAGAGTTTGATATTGAATCGCTATGCATTGCCTGCATATTGCGGATTCCACACCAACTTTGCTGCCAGCAACCTTCATGTACTTTCCATCTTCACTTGTGTTGCAGTCTGTCAAGGTCTGTTAAGAGATGTCAAGGGTAGGCCTTTTTTGCCATTGACTCGACCACCAGGAGCCTGGCTTCCAGCGGGGCCCTTCATGCG